ATAATTAAAAAAAACACATCTATTAGGAGGGCTTAAATTTAAAAAACCTGACAATATCAAGTGCTAACAAAAATATGGAGCAACTGGAACTCTCATACATTGTTAGTTGAGATGCAAAATGATGGGGTACAGCCACTCTGGAAAAGTTTGGCAGTTTCTCAAAAAGTTAAGCATATGCTTATCATATGACCCAGCCATTTTGCTCCTGGGGATCTGCTCTAAAAGATGAAAAATTTCGATCACATAAAAACCTACATACCAATGTTTGTAGCCGCTTTATTCATAATCCCCCCCAAACGGTAAAGGATCCGATGTTCTTCAACAGTACATGGATACATAAACTGGGGTATGCCCATAAGATGGAATACACTCCTCAGCAATAAAAAAGAATACACACATGGAAGAATCTCAAAGATGTTGTCTGAGTGAAAGAAGCCAGTCTCAAAGGTTACATACTATTTGATTTCATTTACGAGACATTCATTATGTGACATGTGAAAAGGCAAAACTTTTCTAGATGGAGACAGATCCGGGTACCTAGGTGGCTCAGTTGGTTAGGCATCTGACTACTGATTTCAGTTCAGGTCATGGTCTCAAGGTCCTGGGATCAAGCCCCACATTGGAATCCGCACTCAGTATGGAATCTGCTTGGGAGATCATGCTCTCTCTCTGCCCCCCCCTCAAATAAACAAATAAACAAACAAATATTAAAAAAAAAAAAAAAAAAGATGGGGACCGGATCAAGGGTTGTCAGCAATTAGGGGAAGGGTTTGACTTACAATGGGACAGAATGAAGGAGGGCTTGGTATTTTCTGGTTTTGTTTTCTGGCTTTTTTTGGTGGTGGAACTGTTCTGTAAAAGAACTCTGATGAGGGTTACATCGATCAATTTTAAAACTTGCAGAATTATACAAGAAAAAAGGCCAATTTTACTTCATATAAAATTCTAGTAATAATGAGAGTATGAGAGTATGTAACTACTCTAAAACAGTTAAAAATAAGAGGTAAAAGAATAAGAAACTCTGAATTAAGCTAATGCCTGGCATACATCAATATTTATTATTAAAAGAGACTTAGGAGATATAAAAACCGAATATAATGAATGGGCTTTTTTTTTTTTTTTTTTAAAGATTTGATTTATTTATTCATGAGAGACAGACAGAGAGAGAGAGAGGCAGAGGGAGAAGCAGGCTCCCAAGGAGCAGGGAGCCCGATGTGGGACCCGATCCCAGGACCCTGGGATCATGACCTGAGCCGAAGGCAGACGCTTAACCATCTGAGCCACCCAGGCGCCCGAATGGGCTTTGTTTTGACCCTGGTTTGAATAAACCAACTGCACAGACCTTTTTAGGCAAATGGGGATATTTGAATATAGTATTAGATGATATTAAGGATTTTTCATTCATTGTTAGGTAGGACTATAGTTACGTAAAAAACTAAACTTTAAAAAAATTCATACTAAAATATTTAGTGATAAAATGACATGATTTCTAGTGTTTGCTTCAAAATTCTCCAGAAGTAAGCAAAAAAAAAAAAAAACCTCAAAAAACAAAAAACAAAAAACACAAAAAAACAAAGGGAGAAGGGCAAATGGAACAGTGTGGCAAAGCCAGGATGGTGCACAGATTTCTGATGCTGTGTGGGTTCATGAAGGTTTAAGGTTTACTGTGCTCTCCTTTTGAGTATGTTCATAATAAATGCTGAGAGAGAAAAAACCCCGGTGACTTAATCTTCATAAGTACTCCCCCAAATGCCCTAACTGTTCTTTATTCATATATAAGATACACTACAGTAGACCCTTGAACAACACTGGGGTTGGGGGCACCAACACCCTGCATTTGAAAAATCTGAGTATTACTTCTGACTCCCCAAAAACTTAACTACTAAGAGCTTATTGGTGACCAGAAGCCCTAGTTGTAACATGTATGTCAAATAATGCATATTTTGTATGCTATATGTATCATATACTGTATTTTTACAATAAAGTAAGCTAGAGAAGAGATGTTATTTAAAAAATCATGGGGAAGAAAAGTACATTTACAAATACTGCATTTATCAAAAAACAAAAGCTGCATATAAGCAGGCTCACAAAGTTCAAACCTGTGTTGTTCAGGGGTCAATTGTGATTTCCCCTTAGTTTTTATTTGGCTTTTATACTCTGTATTTAACTTCACAGAAAGCCAAGTTGAGGGAAGAGAGTCCAGGCAGTTGTGATTCTTCTCACAAATAAGGGCTTCATAATGGTACAAGTAATGGCTTAAAGAATGCTTCGCAAATCTCATTTAATGCTCATAAACTAGTAAAATCACCGTGAGATGAAGAAATATTAATAATTTTCATTAACTTCTCTGCTGCATACTAAGCGCAGGTGACAACATCAGGAAGAGGTAACTAACGACCACAAGTTTAAAGATAGATGCAGTAATATGAACACATGGAGGAGAGGACAGCATAATACAAGTCTAATTTACTCTTCCTCACTCTAATTTATTCTGACATAACTCAAAATATCAGAGTTCCAATAACACTCTCAAGCAACTGGAAATATCTTTCTTACTGGTGGCCTATTAAGTGGAAGATACTATGTGGGAATCAAAATGAGGACGGTGTGGTTCTCATCTAATGCTAAATAGTTTAGCATGAATTTTGTTTGAAATAGTCCAGCAGGGTTTAAGGCTAGTGTGCAAAAACAATTACACAGGCAAAAATAGCAGAGAAAAGTAAAAGGCTGAAGAGCCGCAAGCAGCAACGGCCCCATCGGGGCGCAGAGGCAGGAGTGACCCGTGGGGAGGGTGGGGCACGGGAGTGAGTCAAGGGTTCTGAGCACTGTTCAGTGGAGCTCGTCTGTCTCCTTCACCCAGAAGCCCCTCTTTCCAGTGCTGAAGGAGACTACCCAAGCGTCTAGAGCCACTGTGTCAGCAGGGACGAGCAGAGGCACCACGCCCTGGGGATTATTAGCGCCTGGTAATAACTGTCTGATGGTCCCAAATGTCTGGAGCACTGCCCTGATCCTGCAGCAGCTACAGCAGCACAAGGGGAGGTGACTACATGAAGGCCTCCCAAAGATCCCCAGAATCTGTGAACATGTTACCTTGCATGGCATAAGGGATGTGATTAATGTCAAGGGCCTTAAAATGCAGAAATTATCTTGGACTATCCAAATGGGCCCGATCTAACTACACGAGTCCTCAAACGTGCAGCAGCTTTCCTGGCTGGGGGTAGAGAAAGCTGTAGCCATGGTGGAAGGGCAAGGGGAAAAACGCCACCTGTCAAGGCAGAGGGAGGGGGCCATGAACCAAGGAATGCGGGAGGCCTCTCGAAGTGGGACAAGGCAAGAAAACAGGTTCTCCCCCAGGGCTTCCAGGGGGGGACAAGCCTCACTGATGCCCTGACTTCAGCCCAGTGAGACCCGTGTTGACTTCTGACCTAGAGAACCATAAGACAAGTAAGTATCTGTGTTGTTTGAAGCCATGAAGTTGGTGCCGCCTTGTTCCGGCAGCACCAGGCAACCCTGCTCCTCGTCGCTAGGCCTTTGCGTGTATGCCTGCACCCCCTTCTCTCACGTCACCAAGCAAGGGCATCTTCATTGGAATTAAAAGACAAGATCTTCCACATCTCACATCTCTGCTCAAAGGTGTTTTCCCCTGAAAAGGTCTTCCAAACCTGCTTACCCAGGACAGGTCATGACCCCCACTCCATACACTCACTTGGCACCTACACCTCTCCAGCTCAGTGCTTGCTTGACTGCAGCTATTCTCTCCTTCAGAGCTTACATTTATTGAGCATTTATTAAGTACTAAGTACCACGAGAAGGATTTTTCATGGGTTTTCTCATTCAATCCTCCCAACAAGCCTATCAGGTAGACATAATTATTATCCCTCACTTTTTTAAGTTAGAAAGGTCAAAATCACCCAGCTGGTAGGTGGCAGAGCCAGGGTTTGAAGCCAGGTGGTCTGACAAAGGAGTTGTTGCCCTTAACAATGCTGTCCCCCGTGGGAGAAATCTAAGTTCCAAGATCCTGTGCATTCCTTAACACAATGGCCCCAGTGTTCAACACAGAGAAGTTTCATAGTTGCTGAATATGAACAAATGGGATAAAGATGGTTTTTCCCCCTACTATTCTTTTTTTGTTTAAGAAAAACTTTTTTATTATGGAAAGTCAAATCTATACAGAAGTGATGATAGAATGATCCCCCAAACACCCGAATCCCAACTTCAACACTTACCAATGTAGGGTGATACTTAACACCAACATTTAATCAATTCAGTATTATATGATCTAGTAGAAAGAGCCCCCTTCAATATTCTTTTTTTTTTTTTTTTTTAAGATTTACTTATTTATTTGAGAGAGAGAGAGGGAGGGAGAGAGTGCAAGTGGGGGCAGGGGGAGGGAGAGAGAAACCCAAGCCGCCTCCACATAGAGGGTGGAGCCCAACGTGGGGCTTGATCTCACGACCCTGAGATCATGACCTGAGCTGAAACCAAGAGCCAGACGCTTAACTAACTGAGCCACCCAGGCGCCCCTCAATATTCTTCTTTTACAGAATCACATGTTCCTAGTTCTCATCACATATTCATTTACGTGTGTTATTAATTCTTAAAAAAAAACAATTTTGAAATGGACAAGTCTTTCTAAGCAAAACATAAATCGAGGTAACTATAAAGGGGAAATTGGAATTTTTTTCCCTATATAAAGTTAAATTTTCTGCAGAGCATAAATATTGTAAACAAAGTTAAAAAATGGGGGAAACAGTTGTAACACATATGACAAAATATTGGTATCTCCAGTGTATAAAGAATTCTTACAAATCAGTAAGAGAAAGATCAGTAACATGTTATCTGGAAAAATGAGTACAGGGATGCACAATTTCACCTTTAACCTTAAACAACAGAAAGACAAGGGCTTCCACAAGTGACACTCTTTGTCAAGGTACTTCCTCTGGTGCTCCAGGATTTAGGAGTAAGACACACTCTAGAACAGAAGAAAAAACAATTCTTACCCGTAAACTTGTTTTTTCAAAACTGGGTCACCGTGGAATCCAGCACCACAGGAAGTGTGAAAGCTTACAAAGCTTTTGACTTCAGAATCCTTTCCAAATGGGACAGCAGGGTAAGTACTCACTCCTCACAGCGTGACCAGTAGACCGTGGACCAGGTATCCAGCTCTCAGTCCTGATGGGGGATGAAGAGGAGGGCGCGTGAAGACAGTTGAGTGTTTAAGAGACAAGGGGCTTCAAAACAAAAACAAACCACCCAGCCCCTGCTGGGTGGCATCTGAAACCCTGGGCCTGGGCCCAGGAAGGAGGGTATTTCCATTCAGTGGGAAAATGTGGTCCACCAGCCGAGGGGCCACAGGGTGGCTTGAACAGAGGAGAGTTACCACTGACCTAGCAGAGGGGTTCAAAGTTCTCAACTTGAGAACCTGCCTTGAGAAACAGCAACCATATCCTCTCCTTCAAGTAAGGAAAATAAAATGAGAAAGAAAAAAGTGTACTTTCGGCCATCAGGCAAAGCCCATTTTAGGAATATTGAGCCTCTTGGATGAGGGTGTCTGAGTCTTTTAAAGTCATACATTTATATTAAAAAACAATTCAAATCACCTGCCAAAAATGGAGAAACCAAACCTAGTTAACCTAAACCTTTAGATCTAACTTTCAGCTTATAGGAAATATAGGGACAGAGGAGCAATCTAAACCATACTATACAAAAAGCCAAATAAATCCAGAATGTGAGGCATTTATGGGCAACCAAGGGCCACCAGTAAATCATTGGCATTAAAGAACTCACTGGAACTGTGATAGACCAGGGTCAGCAAACCCTGGCCCTCAAATAAGTCCAGCCTGCCAGTGGAGTTTAAGCCAAAAAGCCTTGAAAACAAAATTTTATTGTGACACAGCCACGCTCATTCACGTCCATATCATCTATAGCTACTTTTTGCAGGAACGCACAGTTGAGTAGTTGCAACTGAGACCACACAGTCAGCAAAGCCTGCGGGAGTTAGTGTCTGGAGCTTTTCACAAAGTCCGCCGAACCCCTGTCCTGGATTAAAAGAGGTAACAGCTCCTCAACAAAAGACCTCGTGTGGACCTTGTTTGGATTTCAACTCACACAAACCAACAGTAAAAGTAAGCGCATTTTTGAGGCGATCAAGGAACTTTGTGGACTGGGTCTTAGAAGACAGTTAATTATATATTAATAAATAACTTAATTATGGAATTACTGACAATACAATCAGGAGATGACAATGGTATAAAGGCTATATGAGAAAAAGACCTTTTGTCGGAAGCGCATACTGCACTGTCTAAGGGTGACATGATATGGTGTCTGGAATTTAAACTGCTTCAACAACAAAAAAGATGAAGCAGATAAGGGCCAAAGAAATTGTTTTAACAAACTGTTCGATCTATTTGTGGAAATATAATGGGGAAGTTCATTGTACTCTTCCCTCTGCTTTTGCATTTGCTTTAATAAAAAGGAAAAAAAAACCCAAACCTTGATCAAAAAGTAGAGTTTATAAGGACGCCTGGGTGGCTCAATCGGTTAAGTGTCCGACTCTTGATTTTGGCTCAGGTCATGATCTCAGGGTTGTGAGATCAAGCCCTGTGTCTGGGTCCATGCCTACTGTGGAGTCTGCTTAAGATTCTCTCTTTCCTTCTTCCTCTCCCCCACCCCTTCTTTAAAAAAAAAAAAAAAAAAAAAAAAGTAGGGTTTACAGCCAGACAGCCTTTCTCTTCAGGCAGGCCTCCCACCTCACCCATTCTGTCACGGAGTCCAGCTTCAGCACACCCTTTGCTCCTCTATCTCTGAACATAGTTACATTTTAAGCTCCTTACCTCTGTTCATGGTGTCTGCCACCAGGAATGCCCCATTCCACTCCTTAGCCCATCAAAATTCTACTCCCTGCTCAAAGTCCAGCCCAAATATGACCCCAGCCGGGTCCTCCAGTGACAATTCATCTCGCTGTGCCCCAACAGACCATTGCCTCTTTGAAATTTCTTTCATCCTTCTTAAAATTTCAACTCCTTACTGTGTCTGTTTCCTCATAATGCCATACAAATCCCGAGACTCCTAGCAACTGGGTCGTTTCTGTAATTCCACTGCAGGAGTATAATAACACCTTGTGCACAGTAAGCTCTGTCTACACAGCTCTCAGGTCCAAGGGCAGGTCCAACCTAAACAAAGCTATCCTGCCCTGAGCAGCTTCCCTGACAAGACTGAGACCTTCAATTGAAGAATGAATTTCTGTTAAATAAGAGGCCGGTCATGTTTACCTGGTGCTCTCTTAATAAAATCTCTAATTGCTAGGGTTTGCCTCTTAATAGAGAATGTTCTAGAGAAGAATGCTAAGATTGCTTGAATGTGTCCTCCTATCATTGCCTCTCCTTGGGACCTGTCCCTCTGCAAACAAACAATCCTTCATCCCCCTCCATACCAGTCTGCAGGGGGCCCTACCCCCTGGTAAAACACCTGGCTAACTGTGGGTACAAAGCCTTCCAGCGACTCCACTTGGAAGAGCTGACACAGGCTGGAACTTTCAAGAGATCTCACTAGATTAAAAAAAAAAAAAAATGAACAGATAATTTTAAAAACAGTAACAGCTTCTGTCTCTGTTCTCTTGTACTTCCTGCTGCCCAATAGCTAAGGCCAGCATGAATAACCACCCTCTCTAGGTCTGACGCTAACAGTTAAGACACGCGTTGGCAAGGTCAACTAGTCCAAAAATATTGCTGAACAAAAACCCACCAATTAGAAATTAATTTAACTTTACAAATTCAGCTTTTGAAATACAAACGCTCTACCAAGGTTGTCTGCTTATTCAGGAACTTCTGGCTTCTCCTGGGAGTCATTTCAGGAAAACAAGGCATTTGGGAAAATGAGGGCAAACTGCAGGAGCTCTCCATATTAGCATTTCAATAAATTGAACGAGACCAGGGAGAATAGTCTTCTGTTATAGGAAAAAGTACACAAGGACAGTGTGAGACCTACACTTTATATAGGTCAATCCAACAGATTTAGGTGTCCTTTAGTTTTGTTTTGCTTTTTTTATTGGGGGGAGGGGCAGAGGGCGAGGAAGAGGGAGACTCTTAAGCAGGCTCCACGTTTGGGGCTCGTTCACAAAACCCTGAGATCAGGACCTCAGTGGAAATCAAGAGTCTGATGCATAACCCACTGAGCCACCCAGGCATCCCTGTCCTTTAGTTTTTAATACATGATTTCTCCCTAGGACATTTGGCAAAAAGAATGATCTGCTTTTTAAAAAGTGGCTACAGGGGTGCCCGGGTGGCTCAGACGGTTGGGCGTCTGTCTGCCTTGGGCTCTGGTCGTGGTCTCCGGGTCCTGGGATGGATCCCCCGGTGGGGCTCCCCGCTCAGCTGAGAGTCGGCTTCTCCCTCTGCCTCTCCCCCTGCTTGCGCTCTTTCTCTCTCAAATGAATAAATAAAAAATCTTAAAAAAAAAAGTAGCTACAAGTCTAATGCATTTTCTAATCAGTTATATTAATAAGGCAAGCTTGGAGTCAAGAAGGTACGTTTAAGAAACTGTGCACTGACAGGGTTTCCAGTGCAACTACCGAGTTCTCTTTGGCCAACGGAGTGAAAGCGCAATAACCAGACTTGGTGACTAAGGCAGCAAGAGACATTTCTCCCCATGACTGAGACATGACGTGTCACTAACAGCTCCAAAGAAACCTCAGGTCAGAAACTGACAAATGCCACAAGTTTCTGGATTTCTTTGGCAGCTTTTGGTTCCCTCACAAACAGGAATCTCCGAAATCAAAAACAGAATTTCCGAAAAGTGCTGCCCTCGTTCACCTGAGAGTTCGTTTTAAAACTACCTACTGGATAATCCTCACTCTCCTGAGTACGAACGGGCAGCGTCCACACCTGCAGACAGTTCCTAACTTTTTCGGCCCTCGCCCACTCTGGCGGGGGTGCCCGCGTCCCGCCGCGTGCGGCGGCTCTGGGGACCCGTTTCGTGGCCGGCTGCCCCCCTGCTTCCCGGCTGGTCCCGCAAGGCCGCCCGCGGCCCCTTCGCGGCCAGGCTCGGTCCCCGGCCTCCGCTTCCCCTCCCCTGCTCCCGCGGCCGCCGCACTGGGCGCGAACGCAACGCGCCGCGCAGGGACGGCCGCCCCGAGTCCCCGGCGTCCCCAGAGCCCCCGCGCGGAGGGAGCGGGGACAGGAGCCCCGGCTCGGCCCGCATCCAGCGCCTCACCTGCCGCAGAGCGCGGCGCGGGTGGGGACAGCCCGCCGGGCAGCCGGCGGAAATCGGGGGCGAGCCCGGCGCAGGCGCCTCGGGAGGCCGCCCCCGGCGGCGCCCCCTGGAGGCCGGACGCGGCACCCGCCCGCCCGGGGCCCCGAGCACACACCTGGGCACGCGCTGGGACCCACGCCACCGCGCACACCTGGGGCGCCCCGCCACCGACGCTCTGCTCGAATGCGTCCCGCGTGGGGCCTCATGGCAGCCTTGGCTCTGTGTGCGACCCAGACACACCCGGGGGCACACCACAGATACACACCAAGAAATGAACGCGCCCCTGGGAATGCATCCTGGAGGACAGGTACACACAACACCAAAGGCTCACACTAGAGCATCCACACTCAGTGCTGGTATCATACTGGATACACGTAATCCTATAGTCGATACCAACACATATTCTTCTATTCTCCCTTTTTATTTTTATTTTTTTAATTTTATTTTATTATGTTAGGTTAATCACCATACGTTACATTAGTTTTTGATGCAGTGTTCCATGATTCATTGTTTGCGTCTAACACCCAGTGCTCCATGCAGTACCTGTCCTCCTTAATACCCATCACCAGGCTAACCCATCCCCCCACCCCCCTCCCCTCTAGAACCTTCAGTTTGTTTCTCAGAGTCCACAGTCTCTCATGGTTCATCTCCCCCTCCAATATTCTCCCTTTTTAAAAAACAGTGGTTGTAGGGGACAATGAAAGAAATGACTTCCCGAAGGTTCCCTGGCTCCTAGGACTAAACTTGAATCCCAGAAATTAGAAGAGTGAAGACCAAAAGCAGAAGGAGAATTTTTCTCCAGAGACTTTGTTCATTCTGGGTTTAAGCAGTGCTCCTTTTGGGACCCAGGTGACCAAGAAGGGCACCGAGATAGGGGTCCACTTCTGTCACCTCTCCTCAAAGA